AGGGACAAGCTCATGGAAATGTTAATAACTCGTTTCCAAAAACAGCACTGTTGTTATTATATCCCTTGCAGCGAGGGGGAAAAAAAAAAACCCAACCCCCCCCGCCACTTGCTTTGAAACCCTTTTCCAAGCCCGTTAGCGCCGCAGTGACATAGATGGCTGCGTCGGCCTCTGCACAAAGTCCTATTTAGGCTGTTCCCTTTTTGGATGTGCGTCTGTGCGCGTATCCACGCGCCTCACTTTAAACATCGCCGGTCTATTTATAGCTAATAAGTGCAGAGAGATTTAATAAAGGGAGACATGAGAATCCTCCGGCGTTGTGCGGATGGGGTGATGCTGACAAGCCACGCTGGCTGCTCGGGCTGCAGGAATATCTGCCGGCCCCCGCCGAGAGCGGCTCTTTGCTCAGCCGAGCTCCGGTGGGAGACATCTCCGGTCCTGGCAGTGCTGGGCTGTGGGGTTAGATGCAGGTGGGCTAAATTGCTGGTAAATCTGGGGCTTTGGTCCAGGCTTGGGGCCTCGGGGAGTTTGAGGGCTTTGGTGAAACCCTCCCGAAAAAGGTAAGGAAAAGAGAGTCTGTAAATGGCCTGTTCCAGCCCCTGTAGAAAATGTCCTTAGGAAGGACAACACTCATCTTGGTGTAGGGGCGTGAGCTCACCCCGTTCCCGTGCAAGGACTTGCACAGACGCGATGCGTTTGAGGCAGCTGCGGCCCCGGGAGAGCCCGGCCGAGCCGAGGTGCCGCGTGCTCGGCCCTTCCCCAGCAAGCCCCCAGCCTTGCTCCCCGTCAGTCATTGCTTTCAGCATGTAGCAGATGGGGAACATGCTGTTCCTGGACCCTCCTCGTCCTCCCCATCCTGTGTGTTTGATGGTGCAAAGCTGCACTGGAAAAAGCCCTCATGGTGGGCAGAGGTGGTATCTGAGGAGGCTTCTCCCCGAGGAGCGTGGACCTGCTCGGCTCGGGGCAGGGGGGAGAGGGAGGGTTTCTCATCCCTTCTGCCGCGTGGGGTTTTTCTCTCATTTCCTTGGTGCTGGTGAAGGTCTCTCGCTCATTAATGCTGTATCGACTTGCCTGCTGGCGAGTTGTGAAAACCCTCCCGGTCGCCCTACTCCGTTTCCTGGGAACGATCGATCACCTCGAACGTGCGGGAAAGAGCAGATCCCCTCCCCGGCCTCTTAGCCGGGGGTCGGTTCGTCCCTTCTCACCGGCCACACTGTGGTTCCCTCCTCTTTTTTGGGAAGCGTTTCCCGGCTCTCCAGCCACGCAGGGTCCAGGCGGAGGTAGCACCTCCATGGGGGCAGCGCGCGAAGGACCCGGGAATGAGCTGTGATCTTTCCCCATCTTGTCCAGCCACCCTTTAGGCTTGGTCCTGGAAGGGGGCAAACATCCCCTT